GTCTTATATTACTAAATCATTTTTATTTCCAAAAGATCTGGCAATCTAAAATATTTTCTGGCTTTAAATAACCTGCAAAGTGTTGATAAGCCGTAGAAAACGAATCATGTATTCCAGCCGCCCACTTATCACACTGCACCCTGGAGTGAGTTAGTGAGACGGGTGGCCGGAGTTGACTGATCTGTCATCATGTTCCTTTGATTTTTCTTCTCCACGATCATTTCCGTGGAATTTGAGACAGAAACATCTCTCAAGAAAACATAAGTTATTTTCAAAATCTTAAAACAAAGTTTCCATAAATAAACACAGCGTATATAATTTTTGCATAGAATTCACATACTCAAAAATGATATTAATGCAACACAGTCATGATGAAGAACCTTGTAGTTGGCACATAATATTTTCCTGTTCTTGTTGCTCTCATATCGTCCTGGAGTTCTGATTTCCGGTTTTGTATCGTCCTCTCTGATATCACTTCGAACGAGCACAGGATGATTTCCACTTACCTGCGTTCGAGACGTTTCTTCTTCTCGTGAGGCGTACAATTATTTCCTAGGTGAATCGCACACGTGGGTTATACTCCTTTGCCATTAAAGTGTGCATAGCAGAAAACAGTCCCCGTGCAGCAACACCTGAACCATTCACAACATTATTGATATTGGATACCGCAATTTCCTCACCTCTATGCTTGGGTGATATATTTCGAATGCCAAATCAAACTGACCTCCCCCAACCCCTACTAATGAAGTAATTGTATCGATGGATCATGTGTAGCTGTGTTGCTTGTACCTGATCCTTCTCTCCCTTCATACGGCGGTTCAATTTATTCAGCGGCTTGTAGGTGTGAATATCGCTGACAATGTCTGCTGCATATTTAAGGTATCCATTGGCAAATGAAATCGCAGGCACTGACAATAAAACAATCGTTGTTTTCCAAGATCTAACATCCTTTGGATAACAACTGTTCGGTTAATAGGAATGGTACCTGTCCATTTAGCTTCTATATCAACAAGTTCAGAAAGCAATTTCAGCTGGTAAAGAAATTATCGAAAAAGAGTAAATGATGAGTATATCTAATATGAACGCCATTATCTCAACAACAATGTTCGAATCTGCACAAGCAATAGGTAGTAACCCCTACTCTGTGCATTTGATATTGAAATCCAAACACGCAACACATTACCCATATCTTGATTCTAAAACGAATTGCCTTTCCTCGAATAAACATCTTGGCTCCATGATGGCCGTAGTGAGGAACCATTGATTTGCCAATTCTAGAATTACTGTTGCAGATGGAAAATTGATGAATATTGGAATTCAAGAGACTTTGGCTACTTCGTTAGTTTTATCAGGTTTCTGGTTGTCTGCAAGATTCAAATAACTGTTTTATTTCGAGAAGACCATTCCGGCTCATATTTACAGTCAAACCGTCCTTTTTCGCGAATATTGTCTCTCAAGAGGAACGGAATTATATTCAGAGAAAATAAAAATAGCAATAGAAACTTTCATTTCATCTTGTTGAAAATTACATGTTATTATTCCCTCTGTTAGTAGAAAAATTAGTTTGGGAAAACAATCGATAAAAAAAAAACAAAAAAAAAACGTCATCACTAAAAATAGTTTTCCACACTTAATATGGTGTCATATACGCAAGCTTATCGTGTCCACGCGCAATCTACAAAACGTATTGTCCAGAGTTTTGGAGTGTCGAATATTTCACGTTTTATCAATCTCATTGGAGGTATTTCCCTCGTAGTCTGTTATGTTTTTAATGAAGAATGGCCTGTTTCATGATGGTTTAATGATTGTTTTTTCAACGGCTACTTTAATATTGCCAGCAATTTCTGGCGATAGGATGAGGATTTAATTACAAGACACATTCTTCAGTTATTTAGGAATAGATAGTTTCGCGTATTGTCCGGTTCACACTTCTCCATGCTCTTTTGAACAAGAGTAGAGTTTAAGATTGGATTTTCAGTCACTTCTTACATCTATTCATTTACTTTCACTCCCAGTAGCTCGTTGTATCTTAGCGGCATTATCACCTTACTTGAGGTGGATTGTCTTATTTTTTTAAAGAAGAATTTCAGTGGCTTCGCCCAACGTCACTGATTCTTTTACCGCAGCTTTCTTGTTGTAAGCTCTAATGCCATTTTGTTATCTGAACTTAAAATAGTAAAGAGTGCATATAAAATGCATCGACTGGTATACATTATGCAACATATATCAGGCCATCAGAATGATTGCAGAAGAACTGAAGATTTTCATCACTCTTATATTATTCGGAATGTTATTCTCATTTCCATTGCCATATTCAAAACGTTTCATCCGTTGTACGCTCCGGCCTTCTTTCCGAGAATTTTTGTGTCTTAGCATACGTGCTGATTTCTTCAGTTTTCTCCTGAACAGACAAAGCATAGATTGAAATGCAACGTGGGAAACAGTAATAAGGAGTGCTAGAGAAAAAGCAATGAATAACAACAAAAAATCGCAATATAAGCTTTGGTAAAAAAATGAAATAATAACAGAAAAATTTCAATATGAGCACTGGCAAAAACTGTCCCTGTGACATTAAATTTATAAGCCCGAAAAATTCATACATAGATGTCGTCAGGGACACATGACCAAATGGATAATACAACACTGGGTGACGCCAGTATTAATGCAAGTTGATCTGGAAGAATAGCCATTCTAGATAACACTCATTATGCTGTTTGATAAGAAAGACGGAAACAGATCAAAGTAACGGCGAGAAACACCATATCTCTTCAACTTGTAAAGAATACCCGCTTGCCAAACTCTGTTAAACGCCTTCTAGATATCAATAGCCGGGGATTCTCTATTCATATCTAAATCTCGACGGACTCTTTCGACAATAACTGTCAAAACAACGCAGGTTGGCCTAGAGAAGCAGCTCAAGCCATTTTGTCTGTGTGAAAGTGAACGTGTGCGATGAGAGAGGCTTAACAAATACAGTGTTGATTAGCGTCTCTAGTACATTGCGAAGTAGAAGGCTAATAGACTAATAGAAGGATCCGACGTCTTTTTAAAGACTGGAACTCCATAAGACATTTTCAACAATCCGAGAAAGTAAAAAGAAGCAAAGTATCTAGTAGAAAAAATAGTGGCCAGTTTAGAGATAAATATCTTAACTTGATCCCCACAAAGCACATATGACTCGATGTATAGACGGTGTTATATGCTTTTTACACTGAAAGAATCAGTTCGAAGTGGAAAGTCAGACAAAGGAACTCCTGATGAGCCGTTTATAGCATTGGATATTTACATAAGATGATTGCATTTCAAATTGCCTGAGTAGAGGTGGGGTGATTATTTACCCTTATTTAACACAATATTACAGACCCGCCAGTAGTAAAAAAAAGACCACCTTGATAAGCATACCTACACGAAAAGGTAGCAATAATTTCCCACACCCAACAAAAGAATTTACTAAACATAAGAACAGAAATAATTTCTAAATGGAGACATGAAAACAAATATCTATTATCAAAATTTATACCAAATGTATAAAAGAAATACCAATCAACACTGGTACATAAACCACCACTGACCTTATAAACACGAAAAGAGAAACCACTGACACCATAACACCATCAATTATTATCTAATTCAAACTGCGATCATAATAATTATAATTATTTTTATTACCATTCTGCTACCATTACTACAATCACTTCTACCATTTTACCATGACTATTTGCTGCTAAAATTGTTATCTCACCCGCTCCCCCCACCATTACTACCACATCACAATTACCATTGCTGCATTAGTCCATAGTTACTACCTCACCACAGTTACCATTAGTACAAAATCATAATTCTTTTACCCCCAGCAAAATTAATACCATCACATAATTACTAATACGTATTATAAATTGGAGTTTCTACCATTTATATAAGCGTAATCACCAAAAACAAGCAATTAACCGGCTTTAAAATAATAACAAAACAATATTAAATAATTAATAATAATAACAATTTTACCTACCATAGTCTTACACAGATCCCATCTTAAGATAAAAAAGAACAGACGGATAGAAGGTGTGTGAATGCGCATGCATACGTATATATGTGTGTACAAGAAAACATTATTCCGCTAACAAAATGGACGAACGGTATGTGTGTTTGCACTGAGACTTGTAAGGATGTTCTTTACACAATCCAACATAAAATACATCGACAAATTGCGTACGTATAAACGCAACATGGCTGAGCATATACGCCTAGTCCCACACTGTTCATATATGTATATGTTTGTGTGAGCTACAATGCATGAATTTTCATGTATGTATATCTGTGTACTTATATGTGGCGTTCTGACGACGATTTGTCCTCCCACTACCATAAAACAACGATATACGCAACAATAAATAAATCAAAATTTCACAGAAAAATCAGTTTGTCTGACGATCGCAGAGAGCGTGAAACCCAGGGTCAGGAACTCACATAAATCCAACTAAATAAATTAACTCTATCACTGGTATTGGGCCCTTTCAAAGAAGTACCGAGCATATATAATATATAAATGATATATATATATACATACATATATATATATATATATATATATATATATATATATATATATGTGTGTGTGTGTGTGTATGTATGTATGTATATATGTGTGAAATTGCATATATATATATATTTTATATACATACACATTTTACATACATACATACATATATATATATATATATATATATATATATAGATACATAGATAATGTACAGACTGATATAGATAGATAAATAGACAGATACGTAGGAAAGCGAGATAGATACATACATACACACACATATATGCGCACACAAACACACACACAGATACACACAAACATATATATATATATATATATATATGAAAGAAAATTGTGATAGATAGATAGATAGATAGATAGATAGATAGATAGATAGATAGAGTTATATATAAAAGAATATAATCCTTTAGGGAGTAAATATATAGTTTTATTTATCTACAAGTGATAGATAGATAGATAATTAACAGACTTAAATAAATAGATAATGAACAGGTTGAGATAGATAGTGAGATACATAGATAGATAGATAGATAGATAGATAGATAGATAATGAACAGACAGACAGACAGATAGATAGATAGATAGATAGATAGGGAAAAAGTCTTAGATAGATAGATAGGTATGAGCAAACTGTTTAGATGCTTAAAGAAATGAACATAATTGAATAGATAGCTACATAGATTTTCTTAACGGATAATATATATATATATATATATTACGACCGATAGTTGTTTTGCTGGAGGCTTGATTAGAATAAAACAGATATCAACTGACCCCTGTAAATATACTTTTTGTGCATGAGAGATAAATAAGCCGATAGCAAACAAAGAATTCGATTGGCAGATCAATAAAAGAAAAAAGCGAAAATTGTTCGCTGAATATAAACTTCAATTGCCTCTGGTTTTGTTTCCAATGTCTGCAAGGTGACATCGATTTTTCATTGGTTCTCCAGAAAGTAATGATGGCAGAACGAAGAAACGAGGCTGGTGAAATTTGTATGAAACAGACGGTGATTTTACACAGATGTACGACTCAAGCGAGAGTAATTGGTGCACTAAAATGTGTAGAGAAATAAAGAGATAAAAACAAAACTGAAAGTGAATGAATAAAAAAGAAAAGAAGGTGCAACAAATATCAAAGCTAAAGGTGAGATGTTGCATTAAATAAAGTACTAGGCTATTGATATTTATCAAGTTTAACTTCGCCCATAGCAAAAACCAAAAAAGTAGCATGTTTAGAAAAAATGAATTACGCCAAATTCAATGTGGAATATTTCTGACTATCCAGCTTATAAATTATTATTCGAAATCCACACTTTACATATATTAAAGTCGGATCATTTGAACTAAGGGAAATTAGCTAACACCCTAATACTAATGACGAAAAAATACTTCCAGCAAGAATACCTCTGATCAAGAGATTTGATGTTTTGAGAAGCCTGGCACCACTTCTTAATTACTGTTGTTCCTAGGTCCACGCTAACCCAGGATGGTAACACCAATTATATTCCGAGCTATGGGCAAATAGAAAACACCCAAACAAAAATAAGGCACTATGAAAGTACAAATATACTTTTATAATAAAATTAACAAGAATACATATTTATAGTAAAATGACCAAACTAAAATTTATAATAGAATTAACAATACATTTTATCTATAGTTGAAGGCATGCAATTGTTTACAAAATATATTTAGTTGAAGGCATAAAATTATGTTATAAATTTTTACATTTCGGCATTAAATAACTTATAGAGGTTGAAATTCCGTTCAACAAAATCAGCCAAACAAGCAACCAACACGAAATAACTCTTTTCATGACATTAAACCATATAAATATCGTACAATTTCTTAATGAAATCAAACTGTATTTATTTATTCAAACATAAAACACACATATCACCGCATCTAGTAATTATGTTCACACAAACAGGCATATTCACAAATGCTGAGTATCATCTACCATGTATTCAATTGTGAAAGCAGAATAACATATATTCTATTTTATTCAAAGCTTCTAAGAAAATTTAATTTCAGCATTAAATTACCTGTAAGGAATTTATATGCTGTTAAACAAATAAACAAAAACACCATCCTATACGTACTTTATTAACGATAAGCGAACTTACAGTGTACGTCTTGAGAATTGAAAACATTCATTTGGAATAAAAATCAGCATTTAGTAGCCAGGATTTTAACTGGCTTTGAATTGTCTCTTAAACCAGGATATAATAACTAAGTCCATCATGACACAGGCTAATATGTACATAGCTAAAGTTGGGAAAACTAAGAAAGGATTCATTTTTAAGATTAAAAACCTGATCACTAGAGTAGACTCTATAATCAAGCTACTAAAGTTTCATGGCCGATCTGACCCTGACTTTTCTCCAGTATCGATTAATGGTCGTAATCTCAATGAGACTCTTAGAACTTATATTGAAACTAAATGTCACCGAAGACCTCATGTAGAACTCATACAGAGTGATTGACAAGTAACTCCTTATTTTCTGTATGAGTGGCCAGGCAGCTAGGAGCCTTAACTTAAAACCCTGTGATTTTTTTCTTTGGGTTTGATAAAAGGAGCAAGTCTACAATATCAGACCCTGGATTTAAAAATACTTGAATAGCGAGTACAAGTAGTTATGCCTTCCATACCACAAGAGTTCCTGGTGAAATCGGTTGATGCGATTCCTGGGCGTCCCCAGAAGCTGCTAGAGAAATCTGCTGCCCATAACTAATATTTAAATAAAATCTCATGTTAAACGCTTTCCTCTTATATCCATTTCTTGCAAAAGTAATAGTTAATAAATAAAGTGTATGTGTTTTAAAATGAGTCACTTTTCAATCACCCTGTTTGTACTATTCATGACTTAAGATGATACAAAAAAAGAAAAAAAAATGGCTCTGTTTAGCGCTCTAGAAAGTACGTGACTCTAACTTTAGAGGAGACTCATTAGACCAAATATGTCAACCACTGTCATATATGGTCTAAAGATGCTCTGACATCCTGATGGACTTCGAAAGCTTTTACTATTCCTTGTAGGCCATTCATTATTTCCTCGCTAGAACTCTTTTCCCACAGTTAGAAAATTGTTAGCCCCTCATTTCTCTATCGCTATTTCCATGGCAAATGTTCTGACTAGCTACATAGCTTAATTCTATCAGCTCAGATCATTACACTTGTAACTCATCATGCCACGGTCATAGGGTCTAATTATCCACATGCCGTTCCTCTGCCATTAGTAAGAAGGTTGCTACATTGATACAGCCTCTTCACAAGAATCACTATTTTGAGAGAGAGTTTCTCTAGAGGATACTTTTCTGATCAATACAATCTTAACCTGTTCAAGTCTACGGTTATCTTTATCATATCAACCTGATGTTCATATAGCAATCCCAGTCACAAACCCTCTAATGCGCCTTGTATTGACCGAATATGAAACATAAGCAACTGAACAGCGTAGATAAATTTGTAGAAGACCAATTTCAACTGTGCTAGAAAAAGAGATTAAAAAAGTAAAAGCAGAAAACATGGCGGAGAAAAGTAGAACTTTAAATAAATAAGAAATTATCCCTGAGTGCTCCATTTTTGTGTCCTTGTGATAAACTAAGCTAAGGTTCGTCGTCTTTTATACTCCGTGCCTTGTTCGAGATGTGGGTGATCATATCTCTCCACACCTTCCTATCTGTTGTCATGCTGAGTAACATTTGTCTTTTCACCATTCCTACCACGCCCTGATTTGTCATCCATTTTCACAGGCACGTTTGATAGGTTACTCATTGTTTCCCTCCTGTCTTTAGTATGGCCTGTCAGTGGCAAATTATCTAAGCGCCATATCCTCAAGATGGTCATGATGAAAAAAAAATGAAGAAATCTTGACACAAATGGAAAAGAAGAAAATGAGAACGAAAATCATAAGAAGAGATCAACAGTAATGAAGAAGAGAAAATAAAGAAGGAGAAAATCAGAGAAGGAAAAAACTATGAAAAAGAATAGCAAGAAGAAAAAGAAGCAGAAGAAGAAGAAGAAGAAAAGGTGGAGGCAAATTAGATGTAGAAGAAGAAAAGAAAAACAAACTCACGATGATCGAAAGAAAGAATAAAAAGACAACTGAGAAAAGGAAGTTGGAAAGAAAAAGATTAGACAAAAACATAGAAGAGAATAAAGATAGAGATAAAGTAATTAAGAAGAAGAAAAATAATAGAATAAGAGGAGAATTGCAAGAAGAAGAAGAAGGAGGAGGAGGAGGTTGAGGGAGAGAAGAAGAAGAAGAAGGAGGAGGAGGAGGAGGAAGAAGAAGAAGAAGGTGAAGAAGAAGAAAGAGAAGAAGAAGAAGGAGGATGAGAAGAAGAAGAAGAAGAAGAAGAAGAGGAGGGGGATAATAAATATTAACTCAGGTGAGAAAGAAGATGACAAAGAAAAAGACAGGTAAAGAAGAAAAAGAAGCTTAAAATCAATAAAGAGGAAGATGCTGAGCTGAATAGATAAAGATTGGCTGATATTGGTCCGTTGTCTTTTTCTTGGATCTTTGCAACCCAATTTGTTCCCATTCTCCAAAAACTGTCCCTTGCTTCTCTTTCTATTAACTCATTTCTTCCGCCATACACTCGACACCGGTTGAAATTGCACCAAATGCCAACAGCAAGTATGGTTCAACAATCTAAGGCAGCGCGTAAAATCGTTTTCACAAAAGGTGAGCTGACCTGATATCAGACGTCCATACATCTACCGGCAATTCCGTTCATTCTTGTCAACAGATATCGATCAGCTTCTCCTCAGAATAGCGATAGGGGAGACAGAGAGAATGTTCACCCGCACAGAATACATGTCTCGACGGCATCTTTTTTTTTCATCAACAATTCTTCTTTATCGTCGCTTCAATAACTTTCCGTAATGAGAATACCACCATTTTCCGAATAGACCGATCCGAAATTCAAATGGTTGTAGCTGGCCATGGAGATAGATTTCCCCATTAATGGTATTAAGCAGACGAGGTTTAGTTCATGTAAATGATGATGATGATAATAATAGTTGAAGATTTTACAGTTGTTTATAATAGCAATAGTAAAATAAATAAATAGTATATAGCAGGAGGAGGAGGCCTTGCTCTCTCTACGTGATGACCCACCATGGTATGGATATGCTCCGCCGCCTACGATCCAGCCCTCACGTATGGGTAAATACGAATTAACTATAATGCTGACACAACGAAAAATATTGATAAATCGCGTCGGTGGTCACGTGCGTCAACAAGGACTGCGATCGCCAATGAGGAACATGACTTGGAACAAAAAGACTGCAATTGGAACAAACTTTACCGAACAAGAACTAGAGGAAAACCACGCCGAGTACAGTCCTTACAGAGGCCCTCTATATTCGTTAAATGAAAAACTCATAAAAAGAAGAAATAAATGATCTAGGGAAGAGAATATTGAAGTAATAATAGCATTTTACACTGATCCGATCAATTCGACAACGACAACATCGACCAAAGAGGCCTATAATATCTGAGGAGAAAAACATCCCTCAAAAAACAGTGCTCCTCAGCCACTGATGTGTTTTCTGTTGGTCGACGTCTTCTTTTTTTGTTTCTTTTATGTAATTGCCATGCAACGCTTTGTTCTACCAGATATTTTTGGCAAATTAATTGGGCACAGATGTTTAGCTTTCTGTTTTACTCGTTTGGCGTAGATGGTATTCACTTCGGTTTTTGTTGATAGAATTTCAGGTAAATAAGCAGTTTCTTTGTTGATGAAGTGGATTTCGTGTTTTACTCTTTGTAGAAAGGGACATTGCTTTTTGTGAAGTAGGATTCCAATACGATGGTTGTAGTTTTTAGAATTAGTTCAAGTTGGATTAGATCTCAGCCTCTTCAAGCTGATACAGAAAGACTAATTATTGTCGCCCAGGGTCAAATCCTTGCAACCAAA